TGCGTAGGGCTTTGTGGCCAGGTTAAGGCATTTGGAGTTTCTGTTTTGTTTTTTAAAGATTTTATTTATTTATTTGACAGAGTGAGAGACAGCGAGAGAGGGAACACAAGCAGTGGGGGAGTGGGAGAGGGAGAAGCAGGCTTCCCGCCGAGCAGGGAGCCCGATGCGGGGCTCGATCCCAGGACCTTGGGATCATGACCTGAGCCGAAGGCAGACGCTTAACGACTGAGCCACCCAGGCGCCCCGGCATTTGGAGTTTAATTAGCAGGCAGTAGGGGCAGGTTTGGAGTGGGAGAACATGATCATGATCAGAGATGTGACTGAGGAAGTTTCTTCTGGCAGTGGCCTGCATCAGAGGCAGGGAGATCACTTAGGAAGCTGTTGTCAGGAGGCAGATGAGCCGTGATGGAGGCCTGAAATTGGGAAAATGTGAGGAATGGGAGAGACCAGTAGAGGCGGGATCAATGAAGACTGTTCCGGATTGGGTTGGGGGCAGGGCAATGGGAGAGTGGAAGTCAACACCCAGGTTTTGTTCCTGGGAGCCTGAATGGTTGGTGGTACTGTTGATAAAGATGGGGAAGTCAGCATGGGGGATAGGGAGATGCCAGCTACCGGGATGGACTGAGTGTTCAGTGCTATAGAGACCTCTGGGAAGAGGCTCAGGAGACAGTGAGTCAAGGCTTCAAAGGGAGCTTGATCCCCTGCCTAGTGTAGTCAGGTCTCGGGAAGAGTAGAGAATGCACCTTCAGATGGGCAAATGAGAGAAGTGGAGAAAGGCCTAATTACAAGGGGGTGTGAGGGGTTTGGGCATTGCACAGGGGTGGTGAATGGGCCTGGGTTAGCAATGGGGGGCAGCTGTTATCACCCCCTGGGATGGAGAAGTCCCTGAGGACAGGAGCAGGAACCAGAACCTGGAGAGAGTGTGCATGGAGAGGGGTGCCTTACAGGAGCCGTGGCCTTTGGTAGAAGATGCAGATGACCCATGACCACCCAGCAAGGAGGACACAGGGGAATGAGCACCCTGACCACGCCTTCTTCCTGCCTGTGAGCACTTTCTGGTGTCCCCCGTTGGCCAAGTCCAACCTGAAGGCCGAGGGCAAGGTTGCGTGTTGATGTGGTCCCTGCACACCAGTCTCCCAGGACACAGAGGGGGCCGAGTGGGGGAGGGGTGAGCGGAAGGTAACTGGCCACCTAACAGATGAAACTCCTGTAGCTTAAGTCAATCGGTGACCCTGATCTGGCAAAGGAGATTTGAGGGGATATCTGCTAGGAGTTTCTGGGAAAAGGGTCTTGACTTTTAGGAAGGAGACCGCAGGAGAGCTGTTCATTGTATCTGCTGTGATGGCTGGAGCTGCAACGGCTATCTTGCCACGATGGGGGAGGCAGCCGCAGTCAAAACCAACCCACTGAGGATGGAAAAGCAAAGAGATGGAAAGAACCAGGTCCTTGATGACCTCGTGGAAATGCTCTGAGAACCCGAGGTTCCCTTTTTTTTTTTTTTTGCATGAAATAATACAAGTTCTTATCATTAGAACCACTTTGAGTTGTATTTCCCGTTATTTGCAGCTCAAAGCTTCCTAAAGGACAGAGCTGCCTCCCACCATCTCCAGGCCCGTGTGCAAGCCCTTCAGCCTCCCACAGCCTGCAGGCCAAGCCCCCCTGTTTCCCTCTGCTGACCCTGGGCTTGCACCCACTGCAGCAGATTCAATGAAGAATTGCAAAGGCTTTTTCAGTCTGTGACGAAAGAGTCAGAAGTGGGCAATGGGCTCTTTGCGGAGCTGCCCCGTAGCTACTACAGATGGGCTAGAGTGGCGGGGGGCACAGGCCTTGCAGGTCGTCATAACCAGCTTCAAGTCTGAGTCTACTGCTTTCTAACTGTGTGACTTTGGGCAAATTAGTTAACATCTCTGAGCCTTGGTTTTCTCACTGGAGGTGGTAAGGGTTGAATCAGATAGAAGAAGAAAAAAAACAGTCAACCCTGACACGAATCCTAGACTTGAGAGGCTACCCTCTAAAGACTTCCTCCCCCTCTCTCCCTGTTCCTTTCCACCGCTGGGTTGGATGTGACGGAGGTTGGAAAGGGCCCAAAGGGATATTGGCAAGAGAAACAACCCAGTGAGTTGATGCACAAAAGGCCCTCCCTCCATGTGTTTGATGTATGAATGTATGAATGAATGAAAGAATAAATGGGAAAAAAATAAGAATGAGAGGGCTAGAGAGACAGGGAAATTTCGCCCACAGGGAGAAAGACTGATGGAGGACTTTGTAAAATTCCCCAGGATGAAATCTGCCCAGCTGAAAATAAATCCTTGTTCTGCTATTCAAGAGAAAGAGGGAGAACTGAGGTTGCCATAGACCCCTGTGAGTCTCTGCCAGGGGTTTGCAGTCCTGATTGTCTGGACCAGAATAGCAGATGCTTTGCCTACACTGGACTCTCCAATTTGCCACAGACTCCACCACTCCCTAATGCCTCCCTCCTGCCGCACTCAGGATCGATACCCAGGGCACAGATGGCAGATCAGGAGAGGCTAGGTAATGCAGTGGTAACAAAAGCCCCTGAATCCCAGTGGCTTTATGACAACTGTGTTGATTTCTTGTTTATGCACTACATGGTGGGTTATTCAAAGTCTCTCGAAGATTGAGCTGAAGAAAGCTGCATGGAGACACCCCTCTCTAATGACAGCAGCAGGGTGCACAGAACATGAGAGACCCCACACTGGCTCTTCAGTCACCTGCCCAGAAGTGTTTCACATCACATCTGCTCCTATTTCATGGGCCAAAGCAAGTCACATGGCCATAATTGAGTCAAGTTGGTGGAGAAGCACAGTCCTCTGTTTCCAGTAAAGAGGACTGGCAGTTTGTCAGTAGTCCTGACCCCCACCATCAATGGGCTAGGTCAGAGAGGGGCTTGGGCTGAATGCAGCTCAGACATGGCTTGTTTGGCCTGTTTGGTATTTTAAATATTTTTTTATAAGGTTTCCAACTTATATGACATCAAGATAGGTCCTATACAAATCTGTATAATCCTGGCTCACTTTGAAAAATTGGACTCTTTGGTAATAGTGGTTGTATTAATTGTTGTATTAATTAGGATTAAGTTGGGTGGATTATAACAGAAAAACTCAAAATAACAGAAGCCTAAGGAAGATAGATGTTTCTTCCATGAAAGAAGCCTGGAGATAAATAGGCAGCCCAGGACTGGGGCTGTGGATTTAATTACTAGGGGCTTAGGCTCGTTTTTCTCTCTGCTTTGTTGTCTACAGTGTATAGCTCCCACTTGCAAAGATTGCTTCATGCCCCATCATGGCTTCTAGTGCTCCAGCCAGCACATTCATACTCCAGGCCAGAGAAGGAAAGGTTAAAGGCAAACAACGGTGCCTCCCAGCTGAGTCGGCTCTCTTTCTACTGCCTTTCCAGAATCCCTGCACAAAGCTTCTACTCACATGTTACCTGCCAGAAATAGTCATCTGGCTATACCAAGTGCAAGGGAGGATGGAGATAATCATGTGACTCTGCTCAGGCCAAGGTAGTCTTTTTGCCCCAGGATAAAATTTGCCCAGCTGAAAATAAATCCTCGTTCTGCTATTCAAGAGAAAGAGGGAGAACTGAGGTTGCCATAGGCACCTATGAATCTCTGCCAGGGGCTTGCAGTCCTGATTGTCTGGACCAGAATAGCAGATGCTTTGCTTACACTGGGCTCTCCAATTTGCCACAGACCCCACCACTCCCTAATGCCCCCCCCCCCGGTGTCAGTTATTATTTATCATTGGGCTCATGCTGGCTTTATCTTTCTTAGTGGAATTAATAGGAAAAAGAAATATTTCCTATGTCTCTGTTAAAAATCAAGAGTAAAAGATAAAGCAACAGAGACATGTGTTTCAAGAAAAATGAGAGTGGAAGTATATTTCTTGGGGGAAGAGAAAAATATTCCTAGCTGTGTATCATGCAAACAAGGTATATTGAAAAAAATGCAACTTGACACACTATTAAGAAAGAGCTGACTTGCTTTTTACTCACCACTCTGGCCTGGCAGGCATTTTACTGGTTGTGCAGCTAACTGGGAAGACAGTGGGCCTCAGATCTCCCTGGTTCTACACAGCTCACCCCTCTCCCTGAGAGGAGAACAGCCCCATTTTGTCCAACCCCTCTTACCCCTCATTTGGAATGATGTCGCCCTTCTTTGTATTCGGGGCTTATTTTGAGCAAGTTCAAAACCGTCTTGCAAAGTTCAAGATCATTATGGCAGGCAAAAATGCAGTGAAATAGCACACCACTGTCAGTTAATTACTAAAAATCCTTTAATAGCTGACATTATTATAAATTATATACCCATTATGACAGGGACAATTGGGCTCTCTGTTTTTCTTGCCCTGCATTGGAACCCCACACAATGCCGTCTTGTTGGGGAGAATGACCTGGGTGCACTTGGAAGCAAGTTGCGAGTTTACATGGGCTACCTATGCTGACCACAGCAGCCTGTGGGCCTCTGAGGACACCCTGTCCCTGAGTGGGGTTGAGGCTGCTGCCTGACTAGGCCCCAGAACCAACCCTGTCTCCATTCCTACCTGTCGTCCCTGCTTCTATGGCTATAAGTCCCTTCCCCATAGGCCTCCCAACTCCCTCTGCGCTTTTCCCTACTCCTCTCCATGTCTAGGCTTAGCACAAAGAGCTCCTCCTCCAGGCAGCTTCCCCTGATTCCCATTCCAAAGCTCCAGACACATGGTAGGCTGGTTCTTTTTTGGTTTTGTTTTATTTATTTATGATTTTTATTTATTTATTTATGATTTTATTTATTAGAGAGACAGAGGGAGAGAATCTCAAGCAGACTCCCTGCTGAGCGGGGAGCCTGACATGGGGCTCGATCTCACGACCTTGAGATCATGACCTGAGCCAAAAACCAAGAGTTGGACGCTTAACCGACTGAGCCACCTGGGCGCCCCAGTTTTTGTTCTATTTTTGTCAGGTGCACCTTAAGCATCAACCTTGATGATGTTTTACAGATGTGTATACGACGTGACCCCCTCCTACATCAAGATGTAGAACTAACTTAAAAATGTTCCTGTGCATGGGCATCCCCTTCGGAGCTTGTAAAAGATGCAGCTTCTGACCTAACCCAGAGATGCTGATTCAGTGGCCCAGGAGGGCAGGGTGACTGCGCCGGATCTTCAGGTGGAGGGGGCCCACAGCCCACCCTTGGGGAAACCCACTCAGTTCTTGCTGGGAAAGTCCTTGGGTCTTAGCTATTCCCCTCCTGTTAGGCGGGAGCCATGCTCTGGTCCTTTGCTGTCAGTGTGTCTGTCCAGCAATGTTCCGGGCCAGAAGGGGCACCCACGGTGGGGAGTCTAGGCTGGCTGCCATCTGAAGATGCTCAAGATGGGGGGACTGTCTATAGGAAAAGTGATGTCTGCCCCACTGCCTCCGGCAGCCACTGAGCGTTCGTGGTCTTGGACATTGTCAGGGTGAAAAGTCATCTACTGGACAAGACGGAGCATTCTCCAGCTCACTCCTTCCATCCACAGGAATCGCCACTCGATGCTCAGCCCTGCCCCTGTTAGAATCCCCGGGGGAAGCTTGAAACAAAAAAACAAGCCCTGGCCCCACTTCAGATATTTTGTTAATGGCTCTGGGGTGGGGACCAGGCTTTAGTAGCTTCTAAAGCTCCCAGGTGATTCTAATGCATAGTCAATGCCTAGAACCCCAAAGCAGAGAGGCCTGACTTAGAATTTTAAGCTGTCTTTATCTGACTGTGGTCGGTGTCCTTGACATCCACCTGCAGAGGTCTCCCTCCATCCTGGGGACAGATCAGTCAGTAATATTGGGTGATTATCAAGCACCTAATCATCATGGCGGCACTGCATGTTGGCAGGGGGCACATTGAACCCAGGAAACCCTAGGGATTGCCTTCAGAGCCCCAGTGGGTGAGGCGGGAGCAGGGATAGGGCCCGTGTGGCTGGCTGGGATAGGGCCAGGCTGCCCCTGGAGCCAGAGCCTGCTTCTTGACCACCAGCCATGGCCAGGGCACAGGCCCAGGGCCAACTTCCTCCTTTAGGCACAGGAGACGTAGGGCCTAGGGACCTAATTTCTGGGGACTGATGAGATGTTTTCATTTTGATTTTTGTCTGAAATCAGAAAGAAAAAAATGACTACTAATAAATATATCACAACAAATCTACATTTGTCTTTATACCAACACACTTGTAAAATATATTTCCTTTTTTTTTTTTTAATGGAAGAAGGGGCCATGAAGATGGAAGTGTCCAGGGCCCACAGAAGTCACAGCGCAGCCCTGCACACAGTCCTGGGCTCTGGAAGGCAGGCTCTGGCTACTGCGTCCCTCAGCCCCTTCCCTGACAGAGCACGGCTGGTGCTCGTGGGGACGGAGGCCAGAAATGTTTATCATACACCTGCTGGGCGCCTAGCCCCGGGGAGGAAACAAGAGCATCAGGCGTGTCTTGGTTGGCCTAGGAAGAGAAGACGTACATACGGGAAACCAAGGACAAGACAGGACGCACTCTCCAGTGGTGGTCAAGTCTTACTTGGATCTCTTCTTGTGTTTATCATTTTTTCTGTCACTGGGTCCGGCCCTCTTTGGATAGAGTTGTTTCATGTATTTAATTCTTTCTTTTTTTTTTTTTTTTAAGATTTTATTTGACACACAGAGAGAGAGAGAGAGACAGTGAAAGAGGCAACACAAGCAGGGGGAGTGGGAGAGAGATAAGCAGGCTTCCCGCCGAGCAGGGAGCCCGATGCGGGGCTCGATCCCAGGACCCTGGGACCATGACCTGAGTCGAAGGCAGATGCTTAACCCACTGAGCCACTCAGGTGCCCCACATGTATTTAATTCTTCAACCACTATTCTTTTGTTGATTTATTCCTTTCTTCAACCAATGTTTACTATATTCGTAATTCAGGTTTTTAAGAAAGATTATTTATTTTAGAGAAAGAGCAGGAGCACCAGAGCAGGGTGGTGTGGGGGGAGAGGGGGAGAGGGACAGAAGGAGAGGGAGAGAGAGAAATTCAGGCAGACTCCACGCTTGAGTGCAGAGCCCCATGAGGGGCTCGATCCCAGAGCCCTGAGATCACAACCTGAGCTGAAACCAAGAGTCGGACACTTAACTGAATACACCACCCAGGAGCCCCAGTTCAGTTGTTTTAAAAAATATATTGGATTTAATTATTTTTGAGTGGGTAATTCTGTCCACAGGGCAAAGATTCCAGAAGGTACCAAAGAGGGCAAACCAGGAGGGCTGGAGGCAGGAAAGAGAGGGAGGCTTCTTTTGGACTGAACCTTTGGTCTTGTTTAGATTTTGTACCGTGCGTAAGCAATATCTATTTAATAGAATGACTTAAAACAAGCGAGCAAGCAAAACAAAACAACCAAACAGTTAGGGGTTGAAAAATAACCTCCATCTCACCTGGCTTCCAACCCCAGCCAACCTCTCCAACCCCACAGACAACCGCCTTGATCAGCTGTCTTCCCAAAGACATTGTATGCATATGCGCACGATACTTAAAAAAAATATTGTGCAAATTGTAGCATCCTGCCCGCATTGTTGTTGGTCATTTGGGATCTTGATCTTTTCATCCTGAAGGCCGCCTCTTTTTAACAGGATGATAGGCCATCATTTATTTAACTAGATCCTCTACTGATAAAGTTAAGGTGGTTCACAATCGCTTTCTTACAAAGCGAAGTGAGAGAGTGTAACTCCCCGCTCTTGGAGTGGTACAGATGTAACTGTATGTATACAGCATTTCAGTCCCGAGCAGGCACATCTGCAGGCTGTCTGTAGAAAGCAGAGCCCCAGCGTCAACAGCTGTGGGCATTGCTACAGGGAGGGGATGTCGGGAAGCTTCTATGAGGAGGCCTATTTGGCCGTATCGATCAAAAATGAAATCCCCACTCCCCCCATTTCTAGCACCTCCTGGGTGCTCGGCGAGGGGTAGAGAGATGAGGAGCACTCAGGCTGAGCTCTTGAGGGGCTCTCAGACGCAGACAAATCATTCCCAGCCCCAGGAAGGAGGGATGTCAAAATGCCAGGACAGTGCAAGGAAACTAGCCTTGGGCCTCTCACTGGGGAGAGAGAGGAAATGTTTGTTCAGAGGAAAAGAAGGAAGGGCATTCCAGCAGAAGGATCAGCATGTGTGAAGACTGGATGTCACAGAGGACACAGGGGAACTGTGGGGCGTTCTGAGGAGCAGAACCCTCTCTTGTTCAGGGTTCATGTGGTGGGAGGGGGATATGAGGTGGGACCTGAATGGCTCTCTCTGGCCATGGTGGTGTAGAGGAATGGCTGAACGCAGTCATGTCTTTGAATAAATTCCCAGACCCCGAGGGATATTACATAACTGTATGTATCGTCACAAAATGCCTTTGGCCTCTAGCAAGTGCCCAGTAGAAACCTGTTGAAGTATAAAATGAGCCTTGTTCCTGGGCGTTATCTCTTCAGTGAGGGTCCCTGTATTCCCCTGAAGGCTGAGGGAGTGAGCCTCATCCAGGAGGCTCAGGGTCAGGTCGGGGCAGTGGTCTGATCCTGATAATGGTGCCATTCTTTGGAAGTCTTCCTTCTCTGTCAAAAGCTCATGGGAATCTTGCGTTCTATTCCTTGATATATCTGGGTTAGCTTTAATATTAAATGTGGAATACATTACAATATAAAAATAAATTTCTCCAACTTTTTTTTGTTAAGTAGGCTCCACACCCAGCGCGGAGCCCAACATGGGCCTTGAACTCACGACTCTGAGATCAAGATCTGAGCTGAGATGGAGAGTCAGATGCTAACTGACTGAGCCACCCAGATGTCCCTTCTCTAACATCTCTGAGTCAAATGCACTCTTTGACTTCAAGAAGCCCCCCGAGTCGCCCAGCCTGAGAAGGACGTGGATTACCGACGGGTTGGGGTAACCCAGCTGCCCTGCAGTAAATCCACAGTCCTCCCTCTGACCTCTGCGCAACCGCCTCCAGCCCTCTTAATGATCATGAGGTTTGCAGCGCTTCACCCATTCATTCATTCATTCATTCATTCATTCATTCATTCTGTATTTCTGAAAGTTGATAATGTTCAAGGCGCAGCCCTCTCTCCCGTGTCATCCACACGGAGCTGAGAGTAACAGCTCTAAATGCTTTGCGCAATAATCTCAGTCAATACTCACAATGGCCTCTATGACGTAGGTACAGCCATTACGGAGGGGGAGATGAAATTCAGCAAGCATCAGCAATGGGACCAAGGCCACTTTGTAAGGGGCAGAACCAGGATTAGAAGCCATGCAGTCTGACCCCAGAGCCTGCCCTCCTACTTCCTGCACCATATCTGATATGCACTTGGGCCGTGAGCATTGGGAAGGGGAGCAAGGAACCCTGGGAATCAGAAAAAACTTGACTGGATTCCTGGCTCCCTGCAGTTGGCCCTGTGATCTTGGGTAAGTAACCCTCTTCACCTGGTACTAGGTGCTCTCCCCAGGCACCCCCATCCCTGCCCCCTTCTGCTCTGCACTGGTGAAAGGCTGCTTAGAGAGTGGAGGATTAGGTGCAGCCCAAAGGGTGTACTCCGTAGCATTGGAAAGGGATGATTCTCTCAGTTCCCTTACACAGCTGGCCTTCCTTCTCCGGGTCACTTCTCACGGTGGGCTGCTGAGTCCTACTGTGTGGAAGAACTTAACTCCTCTCACTCCCACCTCGGGCAGGTAGGTACACTTTACAGATGAGTCTCCCAGAGGCTAGTTTTAATAACCCTGTTTACCCAGGCTTATCCTGGTAAAGACTGACTCCATGCTCATTTCACTAATCACAGCTACTATCATTTACTGAGCATTTATTAGGTGCCAGACACTGTGCTAAGCATTTTAATCTTTAAAACAGTCTCCCAATATTTTTATTACCATTTATGTCTCAAGCTCCCCATCTGGAATCTATCACCTGGGCATGAGCATAGCATCTGGTTGGAAGGGTTATCCTAGGAGGTGGAGGAAGTTGCCCAAGGCCACACAGCTAAGAGGTGGCTGAAGAGGATTTGAACCCAGGTCTGTTGGGTTTGACAAAATAATGGTGAAGAACGACCACTCTGTACTGCCCGGGCAGAGGTTGCTTGGAGTGGCCAGAGTAAAACCAGCATTCAAAGCACAGGGGCTATGGTAATGGGTCCCCTAATTATAGACAGGACCTAATTATAGACAGGAAAAAAAATCATCCTTTCTGCGAGAAAGTAGTAAAAAAGCAAGCAAATAAACAAGCAAAAAAGCCTGAAAGTGGGTGAGATTAGCACTTGGTTAAAACGGTATCCTCAGCATTGCATGTATCCAGGTGGTCCCCGGGCTAATTTTAGTTGATGTGCAAACATATTTTATGTATTTAAAGTGATAAATATAACTAGCACATTTGCGACTCCATGGATATTACTGCTTATGACAAGGCGGAGTAAGAGTGAATTGATTTTAAAAATTAAGCAAATAAGCGTCAATAACATGTGTTCACTGTTGAGATGTTCTTTCACACTCAGATCTGTAACAGCAGATCATGCTGGTTCTATCTTCAAATATGTCCAGGATCCAACCGCCTGTCCCCAAGCCAGCGTGGTCTCTCCTGGACCACAGGGACAACCTCTCACCAGGTCCCTGCTCCCAGCTGTCCCCCCACAGTCTGGTCTCCACATGGCCACTAGAGGGAGCCAGCTAAAACAAGGCAGAACATGACCCTCCCCTTCTCAGAACCTCTAGGGGTGCTCTACTTGTTCAGAGAACTAGCCAAAGACCCCTAAATGGCCTGTGGGACCCTTCAATCTGTCCCCCAGTATTTCTCACCTATTATCACCTCTCTGATGGTCCTGGAACACGCCAGGCACATTCCCACCTTCGGAACCTTGTACTTGCTGTTCTCTGTGCCTAGAACATTGTTTCGCCATAGTGGTCCCCCCCAACCCCCACAATCAGGACTTTGTTCAAATGTCACCTTCCCAGGGAAGCGTTTCCTGACCACTTTCTCTGAACCACACCTACCCTCTCCTGGCATTCCTCTCTCCTCTTCTCTGCCTTATTTTTAACCTTGGCACCTTTACCTTCCAAAACACCATATACCTGATTGTTTTGTTTATGGTCTGTCCTCCCACTAGACTCCTTGAGCTTAGGAATTTTGTGTTTTGTTTACTGCAGGATCCCTAGCCCTTTAAACAGTCACCCCTGGAGCTCGCCTCTTCCCACCACCAAGAAGCAAGTGCTGCCTTACATGATTTCTGCTGTTTCATGCCTTGTGTCTTCCCAGCTCACACGGAAACTTCCCAAGGGCAAAGGACCGCGTTTTCTTTTCCAGGATCAGATGTTAAGAAGATGAACACTCACCTCAAGGAGGCTTGGGTTCAAGTCCCAACTCTGCCACCTATGGGCTGTGTGACCAGAGACAAATTACTAAAGCTCTCTGTTTCCTTCTCTACAAAACAGGTCTAGTAAGAATGATAACTTCTTCACTGTGTCGGTTTTTTGGGGGGATTTGATGAGATAGTGCATATAAATGTTTGGTACAGGATGATGATGAGCATGAAGCTTGGCTAAGTGAGAGATTTGAATTCAACCACCTCACAGATTCTTAATGAGTGCCTACTATGTGACAGGCACTGGGCTAGGGACTGGAGAGAAGGAATGGGGCAAGATGCTGTCTTGTGTGAATGACCTTCCTTGATGGCACAGGGTGGTCTCAAATGGCCTGCGTCTGACTCCACTCCACTCAGTGCTGATGCGGGTGCCTGGTGCCTCATAGCGTCACCATCTTTCCCCACGTGGGGCTTACATTCCAGAAGCAGAGGAGAATGGACATGGAATTGTGTGGTTATGAATGGTGAGAAGCATTGTAAAGCGAAAGCACAGGGTATTTTGGGAAAATACTGGAATAACGGGGGGGGGTCGATTTGATGCTGAGGGGTTAGGATTCATTCTTTGTGAGTTGCTTTGTGAGAAATGTGGCTGCAGAGACCTGAGGAGCAGCAGCTGGGAGCCCACTTTCCTCCTCTCCTACATCCCCAGGGAACTGGAGCTTGTTTTGCACAGGGCCATCTAGGAGGGTGCCCTTAGTTAGGCCTTAGCTCATAGGCCCTGCCCTGCCGGCCTCTCACACACCCTCTAGTGGTGGCAGTGCAGGCGGGTGCTAGGCCGGATGGGCCCTGGGAATCCAAGGACAATGGAGCTGTCACGGCCCTTCCCTTCCTGATACTATCTCCACTAAGAGGCATCTTCCTGTAATGAGGGATGACTCTGGGTCCTCATGTCGTTTAATTTTGGTAACAGCCTCAAACATGATTCCTATTCCCATTTTACAGACGAAGACCCAGAGGCTCATAAAGCCAAGGGAGGTTTAAGGAAGGTCAGTACTGAACTCAGGAACATGAGACTCTGGTTTCGGTGTTCCTCATATGGCATCCAGCAGGCACCTAATGGCACCCCACCTCTAATGTCACAGCTCTGCATGAGCAAGAGCAGAAACCAAACTTTGAGTTACCGCCCAGAGAAGAAGGTAGCCCTCCCTAGGAAGGTAACCCCCCCCAGCCTGCTGCCCCATTACCATTGCTTCCCACATACCTGCAAACCAGCGCCCCCCCCCCAGTTGGTTGGGTTCAAATCTCCCCTCTGCAACTATCTAAAAGCTTGTGCACGTTAAAGTCTCTGTGCCTCAGTGTCCTTATCTGTAAAATAGTGGTAACAACCATATCTCCCCCCAAAGTGTAAAGTGGCCTTTGGGGCCTCACCCCATCATACTTTGATTCAGCAGGTCCAATGGATCACATTTTGAAAGTCACTGCCCTGGAGGGTGTGCTCTGGCAACACAGACCCACACACCACTCTCTAGCTGTTGAGGGTGAGCATACATACTGGTTTATGCACTCTCAACACTACCTTCATGTCAGTGGCAAATTAAATGGCAAGTTCCTGCGCCTCGGTTTCCTCTTCTGTAAAATGGAAATAGTAATAGAACCTATCAAGGTTGTTGCGGGAATTCAATGACTGAATCCTTATGATGCCTGAAACATTGTCTTGCCCGTAATAGGAGTCCTTACTGCAATCCACAGCCAGACCAGCAACTACCCTGATAAAAGAAAATACATTGCATTGAGTTTCTCTTTGTATTCCCCCCCCCCCCGGGGGGCGAGAAATGACTGAAAGGGACCACGAGAGGGGCTTCTGGGTGTTGGTTACACAAGTGTTGTATTCACCTGCGAAAATTCATCTTGCTGTTCACTTGGATTTGTGCGCTTAAAATGCACTATCTCCTAGGATCTTCACGGTCCAGTGAAGAACGCAGGGCAGGCATCGTCATCCCCATTTTTCAAACAAGAAGGTGGCAGCTATTTTGATTTGGCCAAAGCAGCAGGGGATGGGGGTGAGGAAGCTCCTTTCGAGAGAACAACCACTTCTCTCGGAGAGCGCAGCGCGAACAGTACCTGGCTCCAGGTAAAAGCTCAGCAAATGGTTTTGAGTCCTTCCAGAATATACCGCCCTTCCCCCAGCGCTCACGCAGACTCAGGGCCCGGGGGTACTCTCAGGGCCGCACACTCAAGGGGCCAGCCCCGCACGTGGGCACCCCCGGGGGAGACCCGCGCGCCAGCGCCCCCGCGGCCCCCGCGGCCCCCGCGGGGGAATGGCGCCCAGCCCCGGGCCAATGAGAGTAGCGGAATTTCTTTCATTCAGTGCGGGGCAGGGCTCCTGCCCGGAAAGGGGCGGGGCGTCGTGTCGGGGGCGGGGCCGCCGCGAGCCGGGGAGAGGGCGGTGCCCGCCCCACGGCCGGACCAATCGGCGCCGCGCCCGGGGGGGGAGGGGGGGACCAGGCCTTTTTTCCCTCCGCGCGGGACCAATCCTGACTTTACAAGCTTGAACTTTTGCCACCCTCGGACGAGCGAGCGCGCCCGAGGAGGTACCCCGCCGCGCCGGCTCCAGGGGCAGGAGCGGCCTTAACCCTTCCTGCGCCGGGCGGCCCGCTGCTGCAGCCGCGCCCCTCCAGCCAGCTCCGGGCCCGCTCGGGCGGGACCCTGCCCCCAACCCACCCCCATTTCCTTGGGGAAACGTAGCGGGGGGAAAGCACGACCCCTACCCACATCCCTCTCGGTGGTGCAGAGAATCAGTTGGGGGAAGGGGAGGAGGAAGCACCCGGCCTCGAGGGGGCCCGGGACGGCTGGCGGTCCGCCTAGCTCCGAGGGAGGGCCGTGGCGACCGTGAAGAGTCGGAGAGGAGACACTCCCCGCCTTTACCCCACCCCCTGCAACTCCCTACCTCCGGCAAGCCTGGAGTCCCCGTGCGCCAAGCGTCCCAAGTCCCCCATTTGGCCCAGCAGAGCGACCCCTGACTGCGCAGGGGGTGTGGAGACCTGGTGCCATCACGGAAGATCCTGCTACCCCAACAAATGAGCCTCCCCCTGCTCCCAAGGGACTCAAGCCGGGAAGGCACACACGCACACCCATTTTTATGAGCCTTCCCTGGGATGGGGGTTTGGACCAACTCTGAAGTGCAATGTGTGTTTGCAAGTTTGTGCACAAGCCAGGGAGAGGCAAAGCGCCCCGTTTGCATCCAAGTCTCAGTGGGTCTACCGAGCCCTCGGCCGCTCACCCGTGGTTTGTGTAACTCGCGTGTGTGTGTGTGCGCGCGCGCGCGGGCGTGTGCGTGTGCTCGCTCGTATCTGTGCCCGCGGCGCAACGCGGGCCAGAAAGCGGGCCGTGGGCGCTGTCAGGCTCGGGGCGGGGGTGCCGGGGCGAGCGTGGGGCGGGAGCCCGGGCTCGGCCCGCCCCGGGAGCCGGCCCCTCGGAGCCTCGGGCCCTGCAATGGGACGTGTTCTCCTTTAAGAGTTAAGAAACTTGAAACCTTGTTTGCGCAACAATCAGCGCCGCGGAGCCGCCAAAGTGTCTAGACTGGCATATGATGGGAGGCAGCCAATGACTCCGCGGCGCTCCTCCGGGGGCCCTCAGTGTGCGTTTGAGGAGAACAAAAAAGAGAGAGAGAGCCGAGCGGGGGAGCGAGCGAGGGAGCCGAGCCGAGAGAAAGAGCCGCCGGGCGCTGCCTCGCCAGACCTCGCAGGGACCGCGGGGCCACCGGGAGGCACTTTTTGTGGAGGGGGGAGGGGGACGACCTCTGCAGCCGCGGCGCCCCGGGCGTCCGAGCGCAGCGTGGGGCGGGCAGCGACCTCTGCCTCGGTGGATTGCATTTTTAATTAAGGATTCCCAACAGCTCTTTGGGATTTTTACAGTTTCCACTCATGTGTTGACACCCGCGTTCAGGAGAAACTTGCTCCAAGTGCATCTAGCGCCTGGGACCTGAGACGGAGTTGGCTTTTCGTGCATGCAATTCCAGGATTTTGGTTTTGTTTGGGGTTTCTTTTTCTTTCTTTCCTTTTTTTTTTTTTTTTTCCTTTTCTGTTTGCAGGGAGTAAGGAGGAAGCTGAGGGTATCAACAAGCCTGCCTTTCGGATCCTGCAGGAAAAGCCCATGTAGTTAAGCGCTTGGGTTTTAAAAGCAGGGCTGCCTCGACACCTGGGGGGTTCGGCGCGAGCGCTTTGTGCTCATGGACCAGCCGCGCAACTTTTGAAGGCTCGCCGGCCCATGCGGGGTCTTTCTGGCGGGGCGCCGCCTGCAGTCCCCCTCCAGCGCCGGGGCTGGAGTTGCTGAGTAGCCGGGCCGCCGGGGTCCATGTAGCCGCTGGCCCCGCGCGGACTGCGGCTCGGCGCGCGCGTGTTCCCCGCCGTCCCGGCCCGGCGAGCTCCCTCATGTTGCAGCCCTGCGGCGCCCCTTCGACGACAGGCTGTGCGCGATCTGCACGGCGCCCGGCGGCGGAGCTTCATGTGGGGCTGCGGCCCGCGCAGCCGGCGCCTCGCTGAGGGAACGGACCCCCGGTAACCGGAGACCGCCTCCCTCCCACCCCCGGCGCCAAAGGATATCGTATGTTCAGGTCCAAACGCTCGGGGCTGGTGCGGCGACTTTGGCGAAGTCGTGTGGTCCCCGACCGGGAGGAAGGCGGCGGCGGCGGCGGCGTCGACGACGAGGATGGGAGCTTGGGCAGCCGAGCTGAGCCGGCCCCGCGGGCACGAGAAGGCGGAGGCTGCGGCCGCTCCGAAGTCCGCCCGGTAGCCCCGCGGCGGCCCCGGGACGCGGTGGGACAGCGAGGCGCCCAGGGCGCGGGGAGGCGCCGGCGCGCAGGGGGCCCCCCGAGGCCCATGTCGGAGCCGGGGGCCGGCGCCGGGGGCTCCCCGCTGGACGTGGCGGGGCCGGGAGGCCCGGGCTGGCTGCCCGAAAGTGACTGCGAGACGGTGACTTGCTGTCTCTTCTCGGAGCGGGACGCCGCGGGCGCGCCGCGGGACGCCGGCGACCCCCTGGCCGGGGCGGTCCTGGAGGCGGCGGGCGGCGGGCGGAGTCGCGAAGCCCGCTCGCGGCTGCTGCTGCTCGAGCAGGAACTCAAGACGGTCACGTACTCGCTGCTGAAGCGGCTCAAGGAGCGCTCGCTGGACACGCTGCTGGAGGCGGTGGAGTCCCGCGGCGGCGTGCCGGGCGGCTGCGTGCTGGTGCCGCGCGCCGACCTCCGCCTGGGCGGCCAGCCCGCGCCGCCGCAGCTGCTGCTCGGCCGCCTCTTCCGCTGGCCCGACCTGCAGCACGCCGTGGAGCTGAAGCCCCTGTGCGGCTGCCACAGCTTCGCCGCCGCCGCCGACGGGCCCACCGTGTGCTGCAACCCCTACCACTTCAGCCGGCTCTGCGGGCCAGGTGAGCGCGCGCGCCGGCGGGGCCGGGGCTTCCCCTCCCCGCCCCGTTCCGAGGCCTTTCGGTCCGGGACACCGCGGGCGGGCGGGCGGGCGGGCGGATCTGCGGCTGCACCCGCCGGTGCCCCTGGAGGCAGGACGGCCCGGGAAGTGGGTATCGGGGCACACGTGTCCAATGGCACCTTCTTCTTAAGACTCGGGCAAATTTGCAAGGGTGTGCATTCGAGTTTGCTCTGCAGCTTCAGGGACCAACGTAGGCTGCAACTTCATAGACGGTGAAAGAGGAGGGCAGGCCTAGGAGAAGCCGAACACGAGTGTCGTCCAGCCCCCCCTTCCCCCCCCCAGTCTGTGCCCAGGCCTGTAGCATTTGTGTACATATGCTTATTCCTATGCTGTACTTTCCTATGTCCAGGTAGATACAAGTTGTGAAATTGGGCGTAGACAATTCATGTCTAGAGACAAAAGTGTTCATAAATTGTCACACTGGTTCCTTTGTATAGTTTGGAGCAAAGCTCTCTCAGAGTGGAGACCACCTTGCCCTGATTGCTCCCGGCATCCCTTGGGTGTCAAATATCAGGGCCCCCGCCGTCCTCCTCATTGTCAGTTCTGTGTCCAGTGTTTCTAGAGTTGAGGGTCTAGAGGTGGAGGAGGCGAGGAAGCCAGATATTAATTTTACTTATCTCTGCGAACTGCCTCCCTTCTTTGTTCTCTTCCTGGGATTTCCCGCACACACCCTACCCCCAGCCCTGATTACCTGAGCAGGCCCTGGGTTCTGGAGCAGAGGTAAGGACAGGTGGAGGCTTCTGGCAGGCCCCAGAAGCTTGCAGTTCCCCTGCTCTGACCTCTGCACTGCAGGGCTCACACATTTCAGCCCATAGCATCTTAGGGGTGTATGCATCAGGTGGCATTGGGTTCCTGTGGGGGTGGGACTGCTGGAAGATTAAAGGCTGTTGGGCCTGGGAGGGCTCTGAACTCCTCCAGTCTCTGTCCCCTCTGGAGAGTCAGCATCTAGCCTGGGAGCACATAGAGGGTCAGATCACAGATCTCTGGACTCCCAGTGTGGAAGGGGACGGTGGGCCCAGGATTTGTCCCAGATGTCTTATTCACATGTAGGGTAGTGGCTAGAGGGGAAAGGCAGGTATCTCCGCGGTTCCTGAAGAGAGAGCACTAATGGGGTGGGGGTGGGGGTGAAGCAGCATTGACCTGGCTGCCCTGGTCCCCACATGGTCACTCCAGGCGTGACTCGAGGGCTTTTGGCAGTTCCGGACCTGTGGCCCATGGTAGGCTTTGTGTGCCCCTTGTTCCTCTTCCAGACAGCTTCTCCTGGAAGTGGCTTCCTCCTCTCTGCCACCCTGTCTCCTCCCTAACTCTGGAGAGGGGGGCCCTGTTTGTGGTTGCCCTGTCCCCAGTCATTTTTGTTGCGTGGGAGATAATTGGCGGGGCCCGCTCTGTGCTTTTAGCAGGTCTTGGCAACTACTTTCTCTCTTACCAGGTCAGTCTGCCCACAGATATTTGTTGAGCACTTACTCTGTGCCAGGCATGGCGCTGGGTGCTATAGCAGGGAGAGTAGAAATATGAGTAGGACCCATGCCCTTAAGAAACATAATCTTCCCTGGGGAGATGGGGCAGAGACGGGGGAAGAAGGGCCAGGTCATTGGGTCTGAACTATCAGAGCGCTGTGGGATGTGTAGGTAACAGGATCCCCTCCAGGAGCTCCATAATTCTATCTGGAGATGGACTCCAGGAGGTGGTGGGCAGAGAGGAGGAGGCGGAGAGGGCCAGCTGAGAGTCAAGGTGCCAGGCAGGCTCAGGTGTGTGAGCCAGAAGGGATGCACACCCCTCCCTCCCTGGATTAGAAGCCAACTTAGGTGGTGGTTCAAGTTTGGCCAATTTGGGGGGGGGGGGTACAGCTGCAGTGGAACAGTTCGTCCCAAAGCCCTGGTCCCAGGGTCTCTAGTAAGCTTGACCTTGGATGAGTAACCTCCCCTCACAGTCTCCCTACTGGTGAGTGGGTGGCTCTAGGAATATTCTCCACATCTAATTCTAGACTGAGCATTGGTACTTGACTCCCTCCCTCATCCCAAAAGGAGGCACTGTTGCAGGGGCTGTGTCTGTTCTGTTCCTCTTTGCCAGCCCTCCCCCCTCCCCCCATTCAGGCCACCCTGGGGCAGTTGGGAAGACTGATGGTCTGGGAAGAGTTTTCAGTAGGTGCCAGGTTGACCCTCTTGCTTCATCCCCTGCCTGATGGCTTGGGCCGCTGGGACTGAGAACTGGGGAGCCCTTTGCTGCCCACCCCACCCCTGCTGCCTGGCCGCCAGCCTGGCTCCTGGAGCTGGGCGGGTGCATAGCTGGAGCTCAGCCGTGCGCATCCTGATAAGGAGACTGCTCCTTCCAGGGCTCTGGGGGAAGAGGGTTGGGGCAGTGGGGCGGGCAGGCAGGCAGACAGACAGATGGACAGACACACTCAGGGAGAGCAGGCACGTAGCTGGAGAGTACACCCGAATACCCAGCAGGCCAACTGAGGGGCACCCTACCAGTCACCCCAGTGCCCACCGGACCCCCACAGGGAGCCCAGGTGGCCAGGAGGCCCCTTTCTGGGCAGTGCTGATCCCTGCTGCTCAGAGCGAACCCTGCTCCCATCCATCAGCTTGCTTTGGGACAGTGGGGCCAGTTCCCCTCTTTGGGCCTCTTTTCCCACGTGTAAAGTGAGGCGGTGGACAGAATCCCTGGGGTCTGATGGGCAGATTCCAGGGGACCCAGGCCTGCCTCCCCTGCCCTGCTCTCTCCCCCATGCTTGTCTCAGAGAGTGGGGGTCCTCCCTCTATGCCCGGCTCTGTCCAGCACCTCCGTCCCCATGGGAGTCAGGCCCAGCTCCCCTTCCCTCTTGTGTGTCTTTCTGTCCCGGGAAAAGCCAGTTCACTGAGCTCGGTGCCTATGTGGACGGAAATGTGGAGAAATACTTTAATCACAGTTCTAACCTGTGTTTATACAGCTCCTTTCTCCTGAAAGTATCTATTAACTTTGGAATAAATCTCCTGCTCTTTGCTCCACCACTTTTTTTTTTTCTGTAATTATATTCAGTAAATTACTATTATCCAAATTGCGCCAGGGAAAGAGACAGAGCAAGAGCGAACTTCTAAACGACTGGAGGAGGCCGCCTAGGAAAACACAGGGTTCCCAGGCCAGGACTATAGGAATTAGAATGGGCTAAAAAGTTTTCCTTTTATTTGGCCTGGCATTATCCCTTTGAAATGAGATCAATTTCAAGTTGGGCTTCCAAGCCCCTGCCCCGCCCCTCTGGCGGCCCCTCGGCCTGCCCGCCCTGCTCCTCGGAGCTCCTCCTTGGAGGTGAGGAAGGGGTGATAATGTGCAGTTTGCTTCTTGCTGGCGCCAGCCGGCTGCGCTGTTTATCTGGCTGCCGGGGGAATCTGGGCAATTAGGCTCTGCCGGCCTTAAAGCGCCAGGAGCTCCTTTTCCGAGGCTCCCAACCCGGGCTTGGGGGTTGAGCCTTCAGGTTCTGGGGGTGGAGGGGACTGTTGCTTGGGAGGCCCCCTCCCGCCGCCACAGCCACCCCTGGGAGGGTGGCGACTGGGAGGCCCAGGGATGCATGTGGATCCTTTCCTAAGGGAGATGCTGGACTGCAGAGACGGGGCATGGAAGGCATTGTCCCAAACTGAAACATTACCAGGCGCTGGGAGAGGCAGAGAACTCTCCTGGCTTTAGAATTATGGTCTAGATCCCAAAAGGCTAAGTACCCCCTGGGGGCTAACCAGAGGCCCGTCTGAGCTGAGCTGAGCTGAGCACTAACCTTCTGGTACGCTCGGCCCCTGGCTGACTGCTTACTTCTGAAGGAAGTTGGAGGAGATTCCTGCAGTTGATGCCTGAGGCTGGAGTGTCTGATGTCTCTCTCTCTCTCATGTCCATTTCTTTTAGAGGGGCCCGCAGGGTTCTAGGAGCTCTCCCCTTCAAGTTTAGAGCATCTAAGTTACTACTGAAAAATCAATACAACTTCTGTAAGTGCTGAGGTGGCTCCTAAGAGGGGACTGGATAGAGGGCCTGGAGGCAGCCCACACTTGCTCTTCTGACCTTTTGTCTCCCACCTGAGTACCCGCCTTGCCCACCTGAGTTAGTGACCTGGGGCTCCCCTCACCCAGATCCGTGGGGCCGGGAAGTGTTGGGAGTGAAGCGGCGGTGCCAGTTAAAGGTCACCCAGGACTGGTCATAGCATCATTATTATTCCTAGTAGTCAAAAAATGGAGAAAGTCTAAATGTCCATTAGCTGAGGAATGGCTAACCAGCCATACAACGGAATATCATTCAGCCATAAAAGAGTTCGTGGATGCTGCAGCTCGGGCGAGCCTTGAAAGCATACGCCAAGGGAAAGAAGCCAGACACAAAGGGCCACATACTATGTAAACCTATTAGTGTGAAATGTCCAGAATAAGCAGATCCATAGGGACTGAAAGTAGATTTGTGGTTGTCTAGGGTTTGGGGGTTGAGGGAATAGGGACTGACTGCTAACGGGACAGGGCTTCTTTGGGGTGAGGAAAATGTCCAGTAATTACATGGTGGTGTTGGTCTCACAACTCTCAGTATACTAAAAAACACTGAATTACACACTTTAAAAGAGTGAACCTTAGGGTATGTGAATGAGAACTCAATTGTTTGAAAAAAAAGGTAACTCCGTATTGGTCCCCACCTGGCCTTCCACTTTGTTTTGCAGAAGTAAAATAACATCTCCTGCCTTTCTGTGGACCTTTCTTGGACAGGTCCTTTACCTGGCTGGACCCCAGGTGCCCGAACCAGTTAAAAGGAGCAGTTGAGCTGGGTGAACATGTGACATTATAAATCCCTGTGTCTTGGGGTGGAGTCCATAAGCCTTCATACTTTTTAACTTGCCCAGGATGGAATTTAGCATTCAGCTTCCAGCCTCTGAAGTTGTTCAGCAGTTCTGTGCGAACCATTTTGCTGGAGCAAATGGGGGCCTGGTCAAGTCCCTCCTAAAAGCTTTGCAGTTCCTCACAAGCTGGTGTGAGGGACGTTTCAAATTTATAGATTTGCTTTCTGCCTCATTCACATTAGGACACACCCAGCCCGGGAGTGGCCGTGGGTGGTGGGAGTCTCGGGCGGCTCCTTCAAGAGGGGACTTTGATAGCCCTTCTTGCCCTCCACATTTTGGGTCCCAGATAAACAGCCCCTGGGAGAAATGCTGGGGTTGGTGACAGTGGCTTGACTCCAGCCGCCACTGCCCATTGCTGCCAAGTTTCACTTTTGGGGGACAGATCTGGGAGGCCAGTTGTCCAGAGCGCCCCACCGTGTGTGGCCTGAGCCTCAGCCAATCAGATTTTTGCAGAAGGAACCCTAACACAGGAATTACAGGCCTTCTGATAAGTGAGTGGGGGAGTGGACAGGGCATGAGGCTGGGGATCAGGAGACCTGGCTTCTGGCTGTGGCTCTGGTTCTCCCACCAGTTTGCTGTGTGGCCCTGGGGCAGTCACCTCCCCCGGCCGGGCCTCCGTGCTCACTGTGCAGTGGGAGTGCCCGCCTCAGTTCTCTTTCCCTGTGGAGCTGTAGCCCCACTTGCATTTTGCCTCTTGTCCTGAGAGGCCGGTCTTCACTCAGGTCTGGTCTCTCGCCCCTCCAAGACCCTGTGGACCAGTGGGCCAAGTGGCTCCTACTGAAGGCAAATAGTTGCCTTCCTGGAGTCTTGTTGGGGGGCTCCTTTGGGTCACTCCTTTCAGCCTCTAGGTCTTCGTTCTCCACACCTTTGTCTGCAGAGGCCCCCACCTCTCCATTATCCTGGTCACCATCGTCTTTGTCCGCACATGTTGACCGAGCACTTTCTGTGCACGTGATGGACTGATGACTGGGGTGAAGGGGTGTAATACAAGGTGCCTCTTGTTGCCTGTGTCCTTGGGATGTAGAGCAGAGTCAGGGCCTGGGCCCCGATTCCAGTTCCACCATGATTGGCTGGGGGGGAAACTGGGTAAGTCAGTCTTCTCATCTGTAAAATGGGAATGAGAATGGCCACCTTATTTATTTTTGAGAAAGGATGAAATAAGAAGTGCCCAGAAGCGTGATTAACCACGCTGTACCTAAGATCCAAAAGAATGCAATTACTTAACAATAAATGAAGTTGAAAATGCCTGGTGTGGAGAAAGACACAGGCATTCAGCAAATGTTTGCTTCTCTCCCAGTGGCTCTTCCATGATTCACTTTTCCTTCTCCCAAACGCCTGTCCACAAAAGATTCCCTGTTTCTAGACCTCAGAGCCTTGACTTTGTTGAAGTAATTTCAGGCTGGAGAAGCTGGGTGGGGAAGAAGTGAAGCTGCACTGGGTGTGCAGAGGAAAACAAACGCTCCTACAACGAATTGTGCCTTATTATAATTGCGAAAAACACTTATTACCCCTTGTGTCATTACTGATACCTGCCTAATAATAGTTATTACCGCTTTACTACCACTGAGGGTTTGTTTTCTTTTGCGATTTGGTGGTGTTTAGTTTCATTTAGGGAAAATGAAGGGTCATTTCATTCATGCAAATTGTTACTTAGTTTAGCAAATTGTTACTTCCCCTAAAGCAAGAGGCTAAGGAATTCTTCTGAAGACAAAATACATGTTTTTAAGGAGGAGTATTTTAGGCAAATGAAAGGAAACCAAAAGAAAAATACCATAGACAATAAGGAATCACAGAGGGTCTGAGCCGGGAGGCCAGGGAGAGCTTGGGGTGCACCCCTTCTCTTTACAAAGTGGGAGACTGAGGCCGAGAGCTAGCTGGAAGTCACTGGCTTAAGGTCTCCCATCTGGGAAGCTGGGTTGCCTTCCTGGGCTCTAGCCAGTCTTGCCCTCCTCCCTGCCCCCGAAGAATGTCAGTTATAATGCAGCTTATTTGGAAAGGAGCTTCTGTGTCTCTCACACTCAGTTCTGATTAGAGTTGCCAAATTTAGCCAATAAAAGGACAATGCCTAGCTGAATTTGAATTTCTGTTAAAAACAGCACATAATCTTTTAGTATACGTATGTCCCAAACAGGGCGAGGGACATACGTATACTAGAAATTATGCCATATGTATCCAAACTTGAAATTTAACAGAGCATCCTGCGTTTTATCAGGCAGGTATCCTAGCTCTGACTCTCACTGCACCCATGTTTCATTTGTTGTAACAACAGTTAGTGTTTGTACAGGTACTTTTCCAGAGTACCAAGAGCTGTTTTACATATATTATCTTCGTTTGCCCTCCTGGCAAACCTGGCAGGTCTTGATGGTTATTATCCCTATTTCAGAGCTGAGGAGACAGGCTCAGAGAAGGGAAGTAGTAACTTGCCTGAGGTCACACAGCCAAAGGGGGCAGATGAGGGCTTGAGTCTGGGTCTGTACCCCAAGCCTGTGGCCTTCCCCGTTGGGTAAAGAGAGGTGGTGGGGAAAGAGTTTTCTGGGGGCTGGGCTTATTATTTGAGGACACCAATCATCAAAAGCCAGGTCGAACCCCCAGGTGTGACCTCCCCTGCCCCAGCCGTGACGTGTTGTGTCTCCTGTCTTCCAGAATCACCACCACCCCCCTATTCTCGGCTGTCTCCTCGCGACGAGTACAAGCCACTGGGTAAGTGTGTCCTCCTTCCCACCCAGCTCCCTTTCAATCCAGGGGCGGGGGGGGGGGGGGGTGCAGCCTCAGTGCCGAAGGGCTGGAGGGAAGGAGGGGGCGAAAAGCAGGCCTGGCTGCCTTTGCGCTGGGGCGAAGTTTTACAAACACACCTACACTTGGGCCAAAGCAGACCCAGGCTCTGCAGCGGGCTATTTACATCTCGAAATTCCTCCGCTCATCATTAACCTCTCTGTGACCTTTAAACATGGGCCTGTGGGAAATGAATGGGTTTTGGCTTAAGCACCTCATTGGAGATGGGTTGGTGTTTCTCCCTTTTCCTCTCTCCCTTCCCCAGCCCTCGGTTGCTCTCCTTTTAGCTTGCAGTAATTAGCACTATGACAGATAGGTAGAGCATGAAGTCACTGTGGAGAGGAGTGGTGTGCTTCTCCCCATGTTAAGCCAAGAAGTTCACCTGGGCAGAAACAACAGTGGGACCATGGAGACAGCTTGTGTGTCGGTGCAGGAAGTCGCTGGCATGGTCCGTCCCCTCTGTGCGCTCAGTGGAGCTGGTCATCGTTTTAGGCAGGTCCCATTTGGAGGCAGAACGGGTGTTCTGGAAAACCTTGGGGCTAGACGAGCAGCTCAGATTCTGGAGTAGAGGCATGTGGTTTTGAAAGTGGCGATGGCTTGTTCTCTGGCCCTGCTGTACCCTCCAGTGGAGGATCCCAGGGGTGGGGCCAGTTAGTTCGGCTTTACCAGTATCAGGAGAGCAAGTTTGTTTCCCAGGCAGTTCCCGTGGGATTCAGGCTCTCGAAGTCAGCTAGCATGGCAGTGATGCTAATACATTCCACCAAGTGACCACAAGAAGTGGGTTTTGTTTTGTTTTTGGTAAGGGCCTCTTCCCAGTAGCCTCTGTCAGCATCGTCTGGGAGGTCACTCCTAAGTGACACAGACTCTCAGGCATCCAGGCCAGTTTGCTTTCCAGGCCCCCCTGTGGAATGAGAAGCGCCCCCCCAGGTCCGCTCAGGAGTTTGACCTCTTTGGTCAAGGGGGACAGAGGCTGTCCCATGACGGTGTTTGAGTCAGTGGTTTAATGATGGCAACTTCCTCATTGTTTCTCCCCACGTCTGGTCATCCCGTGGATGGAGGAGCTTTTTTTAGTTCTCCGGGGAACCGAAGAGGTCATCTGGTGGGACCCTGTCACTTCACAGATGAGGGATCTGGCTGAGGGACGAAGAGGGCCCCCCAGCTAATGAGCAGCAGGGCTGAGGCCGAAACCCACGAAGCAGCCCCCTGTTCGACTCAGCCGTTCTCCATCCCTCCCTCATGGGCCTGTCTCAGCATTTCCCGAGTCAACATAATTGCACTAGTCGCTTAGAAGATCCCTAGTTCCATTAGAGGAAGGAGGAAAAAAAAAACCCAAACAACCCAAATGTTCTCAGTAAATGTAGCCCCTCTGTTTGAATGTCAAGGATCATTGCCCTGAGGAATTGCGGGTCAGCCTGAGATGAAGCAGCAAAAATCAGGACAGTGCCTGGCCCTGCAGAGTGACCATTTGGAAATCAACAGGTGTCTCGGTTATTTTACAAATGGGACAACTGAGGCCTAGAAAGAGGAAGTGACACCCGCTGGTGGTCACACAGCTCAGGAGTCTGCAAACTATGGCCTACCACCTGTTTTTGTATGGCTTGTGAGCTAAGGTTGGTTTGCACTTTTTTAGATGGTTAAAAAAAAAATCAAAAGAGTACTATTTCCTGACGCGTGAAGATGACATGAAATTCAAAGTCTAGCATCCATACAAAAAGTCCTGCTGGAACATGGCCGTGTTCCCCCACTCCCACATTGTCTCTCGCTGTTTCTATACTCCAGCGACACAGTTGAGTTGCTGTCACAGAGATCCTGTGGCTCGCAAGGCTGAAAGTTTGATTTATGACGGGGGCCCTTTGCAGAAAAAGTTGGTGAGCCCTGATTTTTATGACTGGTGGCAGAGGTGGGACTCAAACCTGGGACCCTGGCTTCCAGACAGGGTCCCTCCGTGGGGCTTGAGCAGTGATCAAGGTGGGGAGTGTTCTTTTCTCTACCAGCCACTGCGCTGCTTCCAATGTCAGGGGTCACTAGAAGCAGTAAATGGGAGGCTTTGGAAGAATGCACAGTAGGGCCTCAAGAGCCTTGAAAGGTGGAAACCATTCCCACTCTGGGGACCCTCACTCACTAAGGTGTCCACGTGGGCTCTCTAGCGGCTCCCTTAGAAATAAGGTTCAGCCTGCGATGATGTTACTTCAGACAAGAAGTAGCAGCAAGACTCAGGGCGCTGAACACTTCGGGACCAATAGATCTGAAAAGCAAAACTCTCTTAAGAAGTTCCCACTTGGGCATTGTGGGTCTTATTTTTATTTTAAAGAGATTTTTCCATCTGTCCTTATTTCCCTCCTGGCACGTTTTACCAGCAGATAACTTTTTCGTGCCCCGATAAATAGTCCGAGCTATTTTTTGTATTATTTTCTTTTCCTTGCATTGTTGCTTTTTCATAAACAAAAAGTCAGTTCACTTCTAAGCCTCTGTGATCACATGAGACCAAAAAAACAAAATAAAACCCAGAACACCCAGTCAGCATCTGGCAAGTGGGAAACAAACAAAACAAAACAAAAACCCCAAATTGGTTAATGTTTCATCTTCCCGTTCCCCAAACCTTGTGGTAAAAGGGGGAAAAAAAATCCTACAGATCCAGTGGAATTCTAGCTAGCCAGGGCCTTGGCTAACGGTTTTAGTCCCAGGAATCCCCAGCTTGGAGTGGCTCTCCTGAGCCAGGTGGGACCAGCTGAGCCAGACCTGGGTTGAGCTGGGTAAGAAGGTGATGAGCTGTCAGCCTCACAGAACATGCCTTATGACTCCTTCACACGGACAACACCTCGTGGCTGGGAGCAGAGGAAAAATTTTGCGAGTCCGCCTGCCCAAAAAGGCATCGGCTTGTCTGGGTAGCAGCTCAGTGTTCCAGAGAAAACGTGCAAAAGATTTTCCTTTCCCCATCTCACTCACTGCACTGAAGACAGGGGAAAACAAATAATGTGCACCATATGAAGTACTTAAAATTACTTAAAAAAAAAAAAAAGCCTTAAAAAAACAAAACAAAACAAAACAAAACAAAAACACAGTCCAGGCATTGAAAGTTGCCCTGTGAGCAGGTTTGGATATTAAGGAATGGAGGAGGGAAGGAAGAGGGGAAAAAAAGTTAATCTGGGAGCAAATGCTTGAGCCCTTAATTAGAGGGGTGCAGGTGGGACAGAGTGAGGGTGGCTGGTAACTTGTTAAAACAGAGCTTCCCCAGCTCCAGCGGGAGGAAGGAAGGAAGGAAGGAAGAAAGGAAGGAAGCAAGAAGGAACAACTTTAAGAATTTTAATGGTGGTAATTAAGCGCAGCAACTATGAATTGTTTAGGGGCTTAATTTAACCTTACCCACGGATGCTCCAAGTTGCTACTTGCTCAGTCCCCTGAACTTGGGTTATTTCTGTGGTCAGAGTAGTTGAGACTTTTTCAGGTGCCAAGGCTGCAAGACTCAGCATTTTCCAGTGGAGTTCCAGGGCGGGCTGGCTTGGTCTCGTGTGATCATGGGACGAGGTTACAGAGTGGCATCAGAAAGCTGGGAGGGACACGGTGCCCTTTGCAAGCACTTGCATGCACACACACGTGCACACGCACACACACACACAGATGCGTGAGAGAGAAGAAAAGAGAGGAGTGCCCCACCGCCGACTAAGTTGTCTTTCTCTTTCCTCCGTAGATCTATCTGATTCCACATTGTCTTACACTGAAATGGAGGCCACCAACTCCCTCATCACCGCCCCGGGTGAATTCTCAGGTTGGCATTTCTGTCCTTGCACGGTGCTGTTGTGTTGAACTTCACAGAAGGGGACAGGTGGGGGCGGGGAGCTTGATGGAGGCCTTTTTGATTTCCTCTCTCCTTTTCTTTTCCCATTTCCTCCCACCTCTTGGATTGGAAGATTCACTGTCTTCGTTGCCGGCGTCCTTGGGGTTAAGAACGATCTGTACGAGTGAGATCTAAAGTTGGTCACTTGGAAAGTGCTTGCTGGGCCATGTGCTCACCAGTTGTCTCCACCTTGTCTCTCGTGGGCCTGGTGAAAGCCTAGCATGACCCTCCATCCCTCTGTTTAGCAGGGGAGCCTCTTGTCCCAGCTGCTGAGAGACTCCAAAACACATGTGTTTGTATACATTTATCTTTGTGGCTTTTTCCTCCTCTCCGCACTCTGGGGAAGGACAGACGTGGAAGGTCAGAAGAGGGGGAAATCGAGTGGGTAGAACGAGCTTGGGGGAGGGTCTGGCAAGCGAGGATTTTGCCAAAGGCTGGTGGTTTCCATGTCTCTCCCTGAGCGGTGGATGCTGGGCTAGGAAGCAGAGAGAACCCCAGTTTGGAGTCCCCCAAGCCCCTGCAATGAAAAGTTGGCCACAGGGATCCTCCCATTCCTGAGAATAGCTAAACCTAGCTTTCCTTAAGAAACGAGAGGTTGGCCGTGACCTGGGGTCATCGGGGGCCAGGAGGGACTCTGGTGCAGAGGTCTGTGGGACCCTTTGGGAGCATGGCGGATGGGTGTGCTAGGAAGACAGCTGGGGCTTGTGGCCTGGGTCTGTGCTGCGTGGCGTGACAGCCACTCAGGCTGGTGGTGCTTCTTCCCAAGTGGGCATGGCTGGCTCCCCGGGTGAGAGCCTCTGTGTGCATCCGAGCTGTTCTTCCCCTGCCCCACGCCTGGGGCATAATGGCGACAGCAGTGACCATAGCTGTTTATGGAGTGTTTCCTTCTGGCCGTGTCCGCTGCCCCGGCCCTGTACATGCATGGTCTCAGAACAGTAAAGTACTGGCCCCGGGTCACATAGTGGCAGAGTCATTCGCCACCATGCCACTGTGCTCCTGACTGCTGTCCTGTCCCCCTTTTCTGCAAGGGCTGCATGTACCTCCAAAGCCTCCATTCCCCCGCGTGAAGTTCTGGCTGTGATTCTTGCCATCC